GCACTTTGGGGAGCGCTCCAAGGTTTGGGTGGATCACCCTGAGGGTCAGGGAGTTCCTGTGGAGAGCAGCCTGGCCAACACAGGGGGGGGGGTGACTGAAAACCGGTGGTCTCTACTAAAAAATACAAAAATTAGGTCGCGGGCGGGTGGCTCCAGCCTGTAATCCCAGCACTTTGGGTAGGCCGAGACCGGCGGGTATCACCGAGTCAGGAGAGTCGAGAACATCGGCTGTGCTAACACGCGGTTGGAAACCCCGTCTTCTACTAAAAGAATTTACAAAGAAACTTAGCCGCGGGCGCGGTGGCGGGCGCCTGGTATTCCCAAGCTACTCGGGAGGCTGAGGGCAGAAGAAATTGGCGCGCTGAACCCGGGGAGGCGGAGGGCTTGCAGTGAGCCCTGAAGATCCGCGGTCACTGCACTCCAGCCTGAGCGGCAGAGCAAGAGACTCTCTCTCCAAAAAAAAAATAAAAAAAAAAACAGATTAAGGATTAGCTAGGCGTGGTCCCACACCCTGTAGTCCCAGCTACTCAGGGAGGCCTGGAGGCAGTGGCAGGAAGTCACTTGAACCCGGAGGTGCGACGAGTCGCAGTGAGCCGAGATCATGGCACTGCTATTGCCAGCCATGGGTGAAAAAGTAAGACTCTGTCGCGCGTCAAAAAAAAATTTAGATAATGGGCGCTTTAAATTGTAGATGTCGGTAATAAAGTGATCAAATTAGACTTTGCCTAAAAAGCTTAGGCTGCCATTTCTTAACTTTTTTTGAGACAGAGTCTCGCTCTGGTGGGGCCCCAGGCCCTGGAGTGGCAGTGGCCGGGGATCTACAGGCTCACTGCAAGCCCTCCGGCCTCCCGGGTTGCACGCCATTTCTCGCTGCCCTCAGACCTCCCGAGTAAGCTGCGCGACTACAGGCGCCCGCACCTCGCCCGGCTACTGTAGTTTTTTTTGCTTTTTTTTATAGAGACGGTTTTCACCAGTGTTAGCCAGGATGTCTCGAGTCGTCCGTGACCGTTGTGATCCGCCCCGGTCGTCGGCCTCCCAAAGTGCCTGTGGAGTACAGGCTGTGAGCCACCGTGCCCGGGCCCGCAGTTTTTACTTAGTTAAGATAGCTTCTTGCTTGGGGTTATAAGACATTTACAGGACTTCCCAGTGATAAAGGTACGTTGGATGACATGGTCATTAATTCACTTTCTGCATTGTTTCTAATAGTGTGCGAATATAAATCGTACCGACATGTCGTTTGAGGTGAAACTGAGGCCTAAACAAAAGACACTTGAAGTGGCACTTGACGAATGTCCATTATGCCTAGAAACTTACTCCAATAAACGATGGCTAAGGCGAATTTTTATGCCATATTTATTAAAGATACCTAAAGCCCCCAAACCAATGTGCATTGAAACACAGGTTTGACACAGACATGCCCATTGTAGCATGGCTTCTTAGATTTGTTAATTCATCATTTGCATTTTACATGTTTTTGCTTTAATTTTTTTTAACTTGGAAAGAAGCCAATGATGGTTAGGGCGAAAGAATGCCATCTAAACTGGGTCCCCGTGGCTCCAGGGTGGGCTGAACGTGAGGGTAGGAGCCCGACCCGATGTTTGCTATACTTTGCGGCCTTGCCTTACTTATAAAGCGGGTATCAGTTGTTCTTAAAGCCCCACCAGCTGGGGTGAAGAATGATCCAAATCTATGTATTCCAGTACAGAAAATGGGATTACAGGTGTGAGCCACTGCACCTGGCCAAGGCCACATCTAATTAAAATGTCTAAGGAGTTTTGGAGCCTGAATTTAGACTGCAGATTAATTCAACAAAACAATGTCTCTTTCTACTAAACATGTGCCAAGAGAAGAGGAACCATTACTAAAGCCTACTCTAGAAGATGTTCTACTATGAGAAGGTTGATAGAGTTTGGATGTTTGTTCCCACCCAAATCTCATGTTGAATTATAATCCCTAATGCTGGAGGTGGGGCCTGGTGGGAGGTGTTTGGGTCACAGGGGCGCGTCCCTCATGGTTTGGTGTTATCTTCAAGATAGTGAGTTCAGGTGAGATCTAGTCATTTAAAAGCTTAAAAAGTGTATGGCGCCTACCCACCTCCCCACCACTTCAAACCTCCTTTCTTTATAAATTACCCAGTCTCAGATGTTTCTTTAGAGCAATGCAAAAATGGCCTAACACAAGTTATTTGGTAAATTAGTTGCTATGATAACTTTTAGGCATCTTTAGAGAAAGCATTAGTACTGCGAAAATTGGATTTTAAAATTTTAGGCTGGGCGTGGTGGCTCACGCCTGTAATACCAACACTTTGGGAGGCCAAGGTGGGTGGATCACCCCAGGTCAGGAGTTCGAGACCTGCCTGGCCAACATGGTGAAACCCTGCCTCTACTAAAAATACAAAAATTAGCTAGGTGTGGTGCCGCACCCCTATAGTCCCAGCTACTTGGGAGGCTGAGGCAGGAGAATCACTAGAACCTGGGAGGCAGAGATTGCAGTGAGTCGAGATTGTGCCACTGCACTCCAGCCTGGGCAACAGAGTTAGACTCTGTTCTCAAAAAAGAAAAAAAAAAAAAAAAACTTTGGAGATACTTGCCTCTCAAGTGACATATCTCTGAATTTCTTTCCTCCAGTCCTGCAACATACTGTTTATAAGATAACATGGATGCTACTTCAAAATGGCATAGGAAAATGATGGAACTTATATTACCTAACTTCTGGGTAACAAACTCGTTAGTGCGAGTCCTGGCCAGTTGGCAACCACTCTTATCCCACTTCGCCAAAAGTCTCCTCACTCAACCTCTAATCCCCTTGCCGATTAGTTTAAATCAATAACTACTCCATGCTCCACTTTTGTCCTCTGCCTTATCCTGCCCTGTGCTAAGCCCCCCAGAAGTGGATGTAGAAATTTTAAACAGTATCCTTTAAAATGTAGACATTTTAAACAGTAACAGCAAGGATACTGTTTAAATCTTTACCTTTACCAGCTGTAAAGATTCCACGGAAAATAGATATACCCAGGAAATAGTCACAAGAGTTATGAGAGTGTGATGAAAAGCCAACATGAGTGATCTAGACTCTAAGGAGCCACAACAATGTACTGGTGATCATGTCCGTCTTTTTAAGACTTACTGTGTGCTCACGGGTCATTGTGCAGAGCACTTCACATGCATTAGTTCATTTAAGCCTCCTGGTTGACCCCAGTTGGTGATAGCTATGGTTTGAATATCTGTCCCCTCCAAACCTCATGTTGAAACTTAATCTTCAATGTGGCAGTGTTGAGATGTGGGGACTTTAAGAGGCGATTGGGTGATGAGCCTTCTGCCCTCTTAAATGGGTTAATCCGTTCATAGATTCATGGATTAATGGTGGCTTTATAAGAAAAGGAAGGCCAGGCCTGGTGGCTCATGCCTGTAATCCCAGCACTTTGGGAGGCTGAGGCGGGCGGATCACGAGGTCAAGAGATTGAAACCATCCTGGCCAACATGGTGAATGGGCGTGGTGGTGCGTACCTATAGTCCCAGCAACTCGGGAAACTGAGGCAGGAGAATCACTTGAACCTCGGAGGCGGAGGTTGCAGTGAGTCCAGATTGCGCCACTGCACTCCAGCCTGGGCGACAGAGTCTGCCTCGGTCTCCCAAAGTGCTGGGATTACAGGCATGTGCCACAACGCCTGGCTAATTTTGTATTTTTAGTAGAGACGGATTTTCTCCATGTTGGTCAGGCAGGTCTCAAACTCCCGACCTCAGGTGATCCGCCCGCCTCGGCCTCCCAGAGTGCTGGGATTACAGGTATGAGCTACTGCACCCAGCTATACTGTACATTTTAAGAAGTTCTAGCATGTTTCATCTCTGCATTTATCCCATATCACTACAAGAACATAAGTTATCATGGTATTGGGTAAATTAGCGAAATCAGCCCTTTCTGAGTTTAAGGGAAAAGTTATTTTTGAAAATAATAAAAATAACACTCTTTTATACAAGAGTATTTCCTCTTAATTAGGATGCATGTTTAGTAAACTCTGGAGATACAACTTTTTGCAGTGTGGTGGGTTGGTTTTAGTGTAACATCTTCAACATGTCACGCTGGCTATCAAAGAATAAGAAAATTATTGAGTATGAGTATGTTTTATAAACTTTCTGAGTTTTTCAAATGTCTTAATATTTTTTAATAGAACTTAATAAAAATGTCTAGATTGACTATTTTCCTTTGTTCTCTGTTATAGTTTATTCCCCACTTTTTAAAAAACTCTTAGCCTGCCCCCAAATTACAAAAATAATACAGAGTTCCCATATACTCTTCTTCCAGTGTCCTCCAGTGATAATATCGTGCATAAGCATAGTAAATG